CTTGAAGTATTATCCTCATTGGGCTCAGATGAAGAAGAAGAAGAAAGTGAAGTCATCATCTACAAGATGCCCAAAATTCCTATGAAAATGAAGAAGATATTGATTTTTCTCAATTTTAGCAATCAACCCCAAAAGAATTAAAGAAGAAGATTATTGATATTATGCAACGAAAATCAACAAAAGAATAATTACAAAGGAGGATTAATCACATTATAAGAAGACTAGAAGACGTGGATCTTTACCCACCCACCTTCTAAAACAGTATCTTAGTAAGCAGTTGAGTTTATTTGACCCTTCGCCTAACAGATGATAAGGTCTCACACCTCAAAATAGAACGTCTAAGTAAGCAGTTAGACTTATTTGGTCCTTCGCCCAAAAGATACTTAGGTCCCACCTAGTTGAAAAATAAAGCACTTGTAATTATTTCATTTTGTCTTTAGCGTCGACCGCCGAAAATAAAATGTGTCAAAGTTGTAATTATTTTATTATGTTGGCCACCAAAAGTAAGATGCGTCAATTGTAAGGTCGAATAAAAGAATATTTGATAACTTTGTCTATAAAAGGGTTCATTGAAATAGAATGAGGTACAATTTTTCAGATAAACTTTATCTCCCTCAGTCAACTCCTTCATAGCCTAAGTTTCCAACCTTCCCATATCCTCGAATATTTTGAGAATATTGTAAGCTTTCTTTTAATATTTTGTAATAATACTCTTTTATTTACAACTTTTTGCTCTTTCTTATGCATTTATTTAGCTTCCTTCATATGTATATGCGTATATATATATATATATATATATATATATATATATATATATATATATATATTATACACCTCAAATAAAATAATAATAATAATAAATAAAAATGGTAAACACACTTCCTCTTTTCTCCTCAACAGAATAATCAGCTTTTTTTTCCTTCCAATACGCCACCCCCTTATAGTCACCCTCCCTTCACAGCCACCTACAACCACCTGATACAACCACCCTCCATCAGCATCTACAACCACCCTATTCCTGAAATTGTGCAACCCAGTGAACAAGAGAATGATCTGCTCATCAAGCTTCACCTATAAATTCAAGGACTGGAATCTTAAAGAGGGAAGCAGAAATACAAAGATATTGGTGAAATAGTTAAGATTGAAGTTGGCATCGAAATCAAGCAAAACAACATATTTGTTATGCGTTTTGAGCCCAACATCTAAAGCCCTAAACAGGTTATGCATTATCTCTAATAACCAAAATACTCATTTTTTTTATTCATGCCTTGATCGATGTATGCTTATTGAGTAGAACCCAGTTCTCATCTTGCGATGTTTGTGGGTGATATAAGTAATTTGGGTGGTCATGATTTGGTGTTGGCCATTGAATGGTTGGTCACTTTGGGTGATATTGTGTGGAATTTTGATAAGTTGCAGATGGAATTCAAAATCAATGGCAAAAGACTTATTCTTAGAGGTTCTGCTCCAGGGGGAATAAAAACTATACGGAAACAATAGGTTGGGAGAGTTTTAGATGAGGGAGTCCATTTATCCATGATACATCTGTGTGAAGGGGGAGAAGGATTGTTGCAATCCCTCACTACTCATGCCAATCAACCTCAGCTATCTCCTAGGGTTGTTGATCTCTTGACTGAATTTGATGATGTATTTCAAGAACCTAAGTATCTTCCTCCTTTCAGACCTGAACATGATCACAAGATTCCACTTGTGCAAGGCGCAAATCCTATTAATAAGAGACCCTACAAATATGTTAAGCATCAGAAGGATGAAATAGATAAATTGGTACAGGAATATTTGAGTAAGGGTGTAATTCAGAACAGTTGTAGCCCCTATGCAAGTCCTGTGGTGTTGGTTGGGAAGAAGGATGGTTCATGGAGGCTGTGTGTGGATTATAGGGAGCTGAACAAAAATATTGTGAAGAATAAATTTCCCATTCCTTTGGTGGATGACCTTTTAGATGAACTCCATGGATCTACAACTTTTTCTAAAATAGATTTGAGGTCTGGGTATAATCAGGTGAGAATGGCTCCTGATGATGTTCCAAAAAATGCTTTTAAGACACATTCTGGTCACTTTGAATATGTGGTGATGCCCTTTGGTTTATCAAATGCACCAACTACCTTTCAGGGCCTCATGAATTCTATGTTTCAATCTTTTTGAGGAGGTTTTTGTTAGTTTTCTTTGATGATATATTGATATATAGCAGTGATTTGGAGAGTCATGTGAGTCACTTAAGGCAAGTACTATTGACTCTTAGGAGCAATAGTTTATTTGCTAGGAGATCTAAATGTTTCTTCGCTGTTAAAAAGGTTGAATACCTTGGTCATTTTATTTCTGCTGAAGGGGTCTCTACTGATCCGGCCAAGGTGGAAGCTATAAAAAACTAGCCATTGCCTCAGAACCTCAAGCAATTAAGAAGTTTTTTTGGGTTTGCAGGTTATTACAGGAGGTTTGTGAAGAGGTTTGGAGTGGTGGCTAAGCCCTTGACTGAAATGCTTAAGAAGGATGAGTTTGTATGGAGTGATCACGCGAAAGAGGCTTTTCAGCAAATCAAGAACCTTCTCTGTAGTGCACCAGTTCTGGCATTACCAGATTTTTCTAAAGAATTCATAATAGAGGTTGATGCTTCAGGTTATGGAATAGGAGCAGTCCTCATGCAGGAACACCATCCTATTGCTTATATTAGCAGAGCTTTGAATAATCAGCAACAAACATTATCTACTTATGAGAAGGAGTTATTGGCAGTAGTGTTTGCAGTCCAGAAGTGGAGACACTACCTTCTTAATAGGCATTTCACGGTAAAAACTGATCACTACAACTTGAAGTATTTGCTGGATCAAAGGCTCACCACTGTGTTTCAACAGAAGTGGTTAGCGAAGCTCATGGAGTTTGACTTTTCCATAGAATACATGCAGGGGCATGAGAATGTGGTGGCGGATGCATTATCAAGGGTTGAGGAGTTAAAGTGCCATAGTTTGAGTACTTATGAATTACAATCTGATTTGGGTGATAAGATCAAGGCTACTTGGTTAACTGATGTGAATTTGAAGAAGTTAATCAAGGAAATTCAAGATGGCTCGGCTGTACATAAACACTATACATGGCATAATAACAAACTAAGGAGGAAGGGAAGATTAGTGGTTGGAAATGATAGTAAGTTGAGAGAAGAATTACTACAGTGGTTGCATTTTTCAAGGGCTAGTGGTCATTCGGGCATTAATGCAACAATGCAAAGGATCAAAACTATACTACATTGGAAGGGTTTAACTACTGATGTAAAAAAGTTTGTACTGTAATGTCATGTATGTAAGAAAAATAAGTATTCTACGGCGGCAAGTCCAGGATAGTTGCAACCATTGCCAGTTCCTGATCAAGTTTGGCAGTAGGTGACTATGGATTTTATTGAGGGGTTACCTATGTCTTTTGGGAAGCAAGTCATTCTAGTAGTGGACAGATTGAGTAAAGCAGCCCACTTCATGGCTCTTTCTCACCCTTATATAGCAAGGGATGTAGCATAGGTTTTCTTGAATCAAGTTTTTAAGCTGCATGGGTTTCCAAGCACAATCACTAGTGATCAGGACCCTGTCTTTATCAGTACATTTTGGCAGGATTTGATGGCTTTCCAGGGAGTTCAGGTTCAACTTTCATCTAGCTATCACCCTCAAACGGATGGTCAATCGGAAGTGGTAAATAGGTGTCTTGAAACATATTTGAGGTGTATGTGTTGTGACACACCTCAGCAGTAGAGCAAATGGCTGCCCATGGCAGAGTGGTGGTATAATACCACCTATCACACTGCCACCAAGGCTACCCCATATGAGATTGTTTATCGCCAACCTCCTCCCATACATCTCCCTTATCTGCTTGGTCAGTCCAAGATTGAGCTAGTAGATAGAAGTTTGTTTAAGAGAGAAGAGATGTTGAAGATGTTGAAGTTCCACCTCAGAAGAGCCCAGGAAAGAATGAAACAACAAGCCGATAAACACAGGATTGACTGGGAATATCAGATTGGTGATATGGTATATGTTAAGTTTCATCCTTATCAGCAAATCTTGGTGGCGCAGAGGAGCAATATGAAACTGAGTACTAAGTATTTTGGGCCCTATCGAATTATTGATAAAATTAGGGTTGTGGCTTATAAGCTTGAACTGCCAGATCAGTCCAAAGTTCATGATGTTTTCCACGTTTCACAACTTAAGATGCATGTGGGAAGGGTCCCAGTTTCAAGTGTGATGTCATATCAGTCAAAAGATGCTTTGGTAGACAAGAAACCAGAAACTATCCTAGATAGAATGCCAGTTTGAAGGAAGGGAGTAGTAGTGACCAAAGTTTTGGTTAAATAGAAACATCAATTAAGGATGTTACTTGAAAGTTTTACTATGATTTGAATAAGAAATTTTCATCTTTTCATCTTTGAGGGCAAGGATGTTGTAAAGGGAGAGAATATTGATATAAGTAATTTTAGTAAGTTGTAATTGTTAAGTGAACAATAGTTAGTTAGTTATAACTGTTGGGGTAATAAAGAAAAGGAGAAAAAAAAAATCAGATTCTTCGTTCAATTGTATCTTCCTCTTATTCCTTCTCTTTAGTTCAGTAATATATAGAAATCTTTTGATTTTTGAATTCCTTTTTCATATTCCGGTTCTTCGAAGAATTATCTTCCAAGTTCTAGAAAGAATCATAACAGTGGGATTCATGTTGCGATTGGTTTATGCTTGTGTCCTAAAATTGATGAATAAGTTAGATTAGGAATAATGTTCAAAATGAAAGAGATAAAAGAATCAATGTAACGATAAAAGAGCTGCCACTTACCTTCATCTTCTCCATTCATCTCACACTACTCCCTCACCATTCTCATTCGACCTGCCACTCCTCCGAAACCATCCAGCAATCATCCTCACCGCAGCCTCAAATCGCCACCAACCCTAGCCACACGGTCATCCCCTCTGCGAACAACAGCCAAATCACCTTTTTCATTCATCTCGTTCTTTTCCCTCTCACAGTGTTCTCCCAGCAGCTCCCTTCTTGAGACTCCCCAACCTCCGGCCATCCATCACCCAGCCTTCCTCCACCACATCCGAGTTTCTACCCTCGTCAACATTCATCAGCTCCATCCCTCCTTCACTTTAACCCCTTTTTTTTTTTTTTTCCCGACGACACAACTTCTATTATACAAACCCCAAATTGAAAATCTCTCTTTCTTACCTCTGTGCCGAACTCAATCTAGAATCCTGATTTCCTCTTTGTTCCCTTCTCATTCTGCTAACTACTTTACTTTTCATTTAATTGATTTGATAATTAATATTTATTCTGTTAAAAATTATTGCACCTTTTTTTATTGATTTGATAATTAATGATTATTCAATTAAAAATTATTATGTGATATTCGCTTGTTATGAACAAATAAGTATATAAATAATATTTTTATACTAGTTATAATTAAAAATTTTAGTTTTATTATATTACAAATTATTTTTTAATTAAAACTAATAAATTTATAAATTTATTTATTCCAAATATAATTATAATTTTGATTTAATTATTATAAGATTAAAATTGTAGTATTATTTCAAATGTATTTTAATTTAATCATTATAAAAATATTTTAAAATGTTAAATTTTTTATATAGTGAATTTCAAAATGGGTTAATTTTAGTAATAATTATTTAGATATACTTTTAAATTAATTATTATCTAAATTATATAAAAATTAATCATTTTAAATATATTTTAAATTTAATTATTATGAATTTATAATGATTATTTTAAATGTAATTTTGATTTAATTATATTAAAATATTTATTTCAAAGTATTTTAAATAAATTTAATAATTAAAAATATTTGAATATTAATAATTAATTTAAATATATTTTAATTTAATTATTATTTAAATTATAAAAATAATAATTATTTTAGATGTATTTTTAATTTATTTATTACATAATTATTTTAAGTATATTTTTAATTTAGCAACATAAATAAATAAATTTAAATAAATTATTCACAAATACATATTTTATAAGAATAAATTATATTATTATAATTTTCCGTCATTAGAAATACTTGACTTTTTCATATTTAATTAAAATATCTATTTTTAGAAGTGTTATTTTAAAGTGTTCTATACATAATCAACTCTTATATTTAAACCTTATTTTGCAAATCATTTGAAAATTTTTCTAATATTTTCCTTAAAATAAATATTAATTACAATTTCATTATTATTATTTATTTAAAAACTTAATTTTACCATTAAATCACGATTTTGATTTATATATATATATATATATATATATATATATATATAAAGAATATAATTATCTAAAAAAATAATTTAATTTTGAGTTGTATTACGCACTAATTGGAATCCTATATAAATAAAACTTTGTTGCATAACGTGACTTTATTTAAAAAAAGAAATAGTTATCTTGCCTAAAATCATTTTACTTTCCATGATTTTTATAACTGAAGTCATATTATCTTGTACGGGTTTGAATAATAAAACAAAATTTTATATCAAAATTGTGCTATATAACATTAATTCTTTTTTGACAATTCAAAGTTATTTCATGTTACACAATTTTTTCATCACAGAATGGAGAAATATAATAAGACTTGACCCAATTTTATAACATTTTAAAAAACTACTTTATGTAAAATCAAAGCAATTTTTTTTACCATGTTTCATAAAATACCCTCTCAAGGACATGATTTTATCATGATAATATTATCATGGGATGAAGTTTCAAAAAATACATGTTAAGTGGACTTCATTATATTTTCATTTAACAAGCTACAATACATATATAATGTTTTGGTAAAATGGAGGAGATAAAAAAAAATGTATAACAATGATGTGCAAAATTTTCATTTATATATTCTGTTAAAGAGAAGTCATAAGTAACATGATATGTTTCTTCCTTAGAAGAAGAAAAATATATACAAAGTAAATAAAAATGTTCAAAAGATGAACTATAGTGACTTTATTTTAAGAGAAATGATGTTTTGCCAATGATTGTTTTCAAAACACCATTTTAATCATAATCATACCTACGCAGCTATAAAAATATTTGAATGTAAACTATGGTATGAATAATCAGTCCAAACTTTTATTCAGTTGACAGTTGTTCCTGTTTAAATATTTGTGGTAGAAATTAACAACTTTGGCTTTAAATCCATATAGCCTTGGCTTAACTAGCAGTGACACTAACTCATTCCAAAGATGTAGACTCAATACTTTTCTAAAGCAATGAATTGTTTATACATAAACACAGTAGGTACACTTAGCTGACACAAGTAGTGCTTTTCAATCTGTTGATCTGGCATCTCATCCAGCACATAAACAATAGGGTTTGTCTTAAGTCTAGTATTAGTGAAGTGATTGAGTGGCTCAAGCAATATGTGCTCTTGCTGAATATCAGTTTTTAGTTACACCATTTCTATTTTTTTATTAGGAGCATGGTTAGTTAGAGCATTTAATATTAATATTTTTTTATCACATATATATTATTTAAATATATATTATTTAAATTTGTTAGGGTTATTATATATTATTTGAATATATTAAATGTAGCAGTATCATTATATATTATTTGAATATGTTAGGAGAGTTACAGAATCAGTCAAAAATTTATAAAATGATATTCTAGTTTATTATTAACGACATAGTATCATGAGAAGTTATTAGGTAGACACCTTAATTAATTATTTTACATATAAGTAGTTACGTAAACGGGTTATCGTTCCCATTTTATAGAGCGGCTTTAGTATATATATATATATATATATATATTATCCCAACAATGAAAACAACTCAAAAGAACCCTCTACGTTTTGGAAGATCACATATCCAGTGTTAATCTTATGACCTTCAATGACAAATTCACCACATTTTATTTTCTTGATGAATTGGGATATGGGTTCATTAAGATTTAACCTATTATTGTTTTGTAATTTTATTTTTATATGCGTAAAACGACAAAACTATTAATTGTTAATAAATGTACCACATTTAATGTTAAGCAATGGATTTGAACTTGGTTTGCTTAAATTAAGCCCCTCTTAGAAGAATTATATAAAACTTGTTTCGTATTCGCAGGGGTGGGTTTGCATTTTCGCGGTTTTTTTTTTTTTTTTATGAAAGAGGTTAAATCTTTTTTGATTTTATTAAAATGGGTTAAAAAAATTTCATTTTCCCAAATGGGTTAAAACATGGGAGGAGGAACTATTTGATCCTCAAAACCGTGGTAGGAAGTACAATTTTCACTAAAATTGTGGCTTTCTACTAGGTTTCTTTTTAAATTATGCTTCCAAATATGATTTTAGGTTTTTTTTTTATGTATTTTGAAGCACAACTTTCTTATTTCTTTTGGAAAAAGACTTTTTTTTTTCATTTTTTAAAATATATTATTTAATAAATAATTATTTTCATTAAATTATTAATTTAATAAAAAATAAAAATATTTAGACAAATATGAATAAATTTAATTCACTATATTTATATTAAAATATTACATGCATATACATTATCACATAAAAAATTAGCGGTGAGATCCTGTTCCACAAGGTGTTAGCTTGCCTATCATCATCATCCTCTTTATTTGCATACTGCATAGGGGATATACTGGACATAGTATAGTCACGAAAGGTGTTTGATTATATATTGATGGTGGTATCATGGAAGAGGTAGAAAACATGTTTGTTTCATATGGAAACGAAGTAAATGTATGAGGAACTTGTCCTCCAAATTGAAATTACACAGGTAAATTTTGGAGTTGACCAACATATCCAAAATATGGATAAGGTTGTTGATCACTCGACTGACCAACACGATGACTCAACTGACCAATATATTGATGACTTGACTGACCAGCATGGACATGACTAGGTTCACCAATATATTGAGGTTGTTCCTGTATCGTACTATTAACAAATAAAATCAATATTAGTTTGATATGAATGTTATATATATAAAATAAAATTATTGATATACTTACTTCTTCATCTAAATCTTCTTCTTGGGTAGAGGAAATATATTTGATAGTATGTTGAAAATACCATATTATATATGCTGTATTTTCACGCAAGTGGTCATTCCCGTTGAACTCGTTTCCTTGAATTAGTTAATTATAACGGTCATTCCACATAGTAATCCACATTTCATGATATTGAGGCCAAAATCTATTAGTTCTACCTGTCATGTCTTCTCTGTGAAGTTTGTCAAGATTGATCGAGTCTTCTGGAATTGGTTGGCGAAATCCAAATTGCCTCATAACCTGATTTGCTGGATGAGGCTCAATAATAGCAAAACATATAATTAGAACTATAACACGACTCATTGGAGAAACCTCAACATTTATTAGTCGTTGTAACCCAGGACGACGATAAGGAGTCCACAAAAACTCTATTATTTTATAAAACTTGTAAAATTAGAATTATTATCATTTAAGAAATACATATTGAAAGTTGTATTAAATGAAATACCTCATTTGGTTTTAATTGATCAAATGTTAAACGTAATACATGTATAACATATGTAATCATGTTGGACCTTTGACCTGGTCGTGACCACCTATTGCATAAATAAAATACTATTATAAAATGAAGTAATATGAAAGAAAGAAATGGAATAAAACAATATAAAATAAATTTAAATAGCTTTTAACCAATGGGAAACCATACCCTGCAACAATCTCCTCATTGGTTAAATCTTCTACTTTAGGACAGATGCATGTAATATGATCCCATGTCCAAGCTTGGAGTAATAACATGCATCCTCCAATGTTCTCCTGATAGTAGTCAACGTCATGATCCAACGCTCTTTACAAACATGCAAAAACAGTTGATCCCCAACTATAGTTTGAAACTAGGGTTAGATCCTACAATAATAGGAGATACATTAAATGCACTCTAGATGTTGAAATATCTGGCAATAATAAACTCCTATTATTGTCGTATGTTTGCCCTGACATGTTGTGTGACAACGTTATCGTCTGCATCATCTAAAAGGTGTTGAAACGAAGTGTTTAACCAAGGCAATTTTATTGTGTTCCCTGTAGCAACACCTTGTGGTGGGGGCGAACCTAATAATTGTTTGCAAAAGATGGTTAAATCTCCACTATTGAGACCTGTAACTGGCATTCCATCAATGGGCAAACCTAATTGTAAGGCCACATCTTCTAATGTAACTGTGGCTTCTCCGATGGGAAAATGAAAGGTGTGAATTTTATGTTGGGCCATTTACTATTCACCAGCCCAATTACTGAAGAAAATATCTACTTCTTCTTATCACTCTCACCTACCACTCTACCTTCTGCTTTTCTTCTCTTTCTTCTGCAGCAGTGTTAACCCTATCTTGAACCTTCGAACCTCACTTCACCACCGATCAGCTCCTTCCTTCTTTTCACCGATTAACCTCCTATCTGCTTCACTAATCACGTTTCTTTATTTTGCAGGGATCGTGTCAAACGCATAACAAGAGAAGAGAAGATTTAGAAGATAAGTATTCAAAAATTAAAACTTTATTATGTATATATTGTTTACATGAAATGAATAGTATTTAAAGTGTTTGGTTCTGTTACTAGAAATCTGTTAGTCTCAACAGTTTTTTCTGATATGGTTTTGGATTACAAAAAAAATAGTCAACACCCCCCCTTAATCCAAAAACCCTAGATTAGTCATCCCAATCTTCTTCCTGAGCTTGTTGAATCTTGTTTGCTTCAGTGGCTTAGTGAAAATATCCGTTGTTTGCTCATCTGTGTGACAATAAGTCAGTGTCAGTTTCCCTTTACTCACTTGATCACGAAGAAAATGAAACTTCGTGTCAATGTGTTTGCTCCTTCCATGTAGTGTAGGATTCTTCGATAGGTTGATTGCATATTTGTTGATTACATTGAGCTGAACTGGTTTCGTGTATTCCAGCTTTAGCTCCTTCAAAACTTCTTCTAACCATACACTCTGACAAGCTGCTTCTGAGGCAGCTATGTACTCTGCTTCACATGATGATAGGGCCACAACATTTTGCTTCTTTGAGCACCAAGAAATTGGTGCGTTCAAATATCTGAATAGGTAACCATAGGTACTTCTTCTCTCAACTCTATCTCCACACCAATCTGAATCAGAAAATGCCTCCAGCAATGCTCCATTCTGTTCATTAGCTTTTGGAAAGAAAATTCCCCAGTCCGTAGTGCCTTTTAGATATCTCAGGATGTGTTTAGCAGCTGTCAGGTGGGGTGTTCTGGGGTCATGCATAAATCTGCTGATTAAGCCTACTCCATAGCTCAAATCTGGCCTGCTATTACACAAAAACCTGAGTGACCCTACTATATGCTTATATAAAGTTCCATCTACCACTTTAGCCTCATATTCTTCAGTTAGTTTTACTCCAGGCAGTACTGGAATTACACCCTCATTGCACTCTTCCATCTTGAATCTCTTCAAAATCTCCTGTGCATATTTCTTCTGGTGTAGAAACACTCCACTGTGAGTGTGTACAAACTCCAGCCCAAGGAAATAACTCAGTGTTCCTAAATCTGTCATCTCAAACTCAGCCTTCATCTTTTCTTTAAAAACTCCAATCTCTGCATCTTCATTTCCTGTAATGATTAAGTCATCAACATACAAGCACACAATGAGTGTGTTTGTATGATTTGTGTTTTTCACATACACACCAAATTCAACTGTGCATTTCACAAATCCTAGTTTGGCTAGAACTGCATCAATCAACCTGTTCCATGCTCTAGGGGCTTGCTTGAGCCCATACAAGGCCTTTCTTAATCTGTACACAAGGTGTTTTCTCCCTTCTTTCTCAAAACCAGGTGGTTGTACAACGTACACCTCCTCTTCCAATGGGCCATTCAGGAAGGCTGACTTCACATCCATTTGAACCATCTTCCAGCCTTTATAACTTGCTACTGCTGTAACTAGTCTCACGGTCTCCATCCTAGCTACAGGAGCAAATACCTCTGTATAGTCAATTCCTTCCTGCTGTAGGAATCCCTTTGCTACCAATCTGGCCTTATGCTTGGCCACACTTCCATCAGGTTTCAATTTTAGCTTGAAAACCCACTTCACATCAATAGGTAGTTTATCTTGTGGCAGTTTGACTAATTCCCATGTTCTATTTTTCTCAATCGCCTCCATCTCCTCTTTCATAGCATCCTTCCATTCTCTCATCTTTAAGGCTTCCTTCCAGGTTATGGGTTCTGTGTCTGCCATAAAAGCTTGATGAACTAGATCACCAACTCTTGTAATTATACCATCTCCATAAACTTCATGTCCAGCAAGCCTAGTGGAAGGGAACCTCGTTCTCTGAGTCCTTCTATTGGTTGAAACAGCAGCTGATGACTCAGTTTTATCTTCTAAAACACACGGGATTTGTGTTACAACCTCCTCCTTTTCTTTCCAGTTCC